CAGTGCATTATGGACTTGAACTAAGGTGCATCACTGAATCATTCTCACGTCCAGGCTAAGGATTTTGAAACTGGCTCTTAATGAGGAAGTGTGAGATCATGCTAAAGTTTGCGCTCACAGATATGAGATTTTCAGAAGTCAACCAGGTACCACGCATTATTAAAAACTTAGTAGGACTTTTTCGTCGGGGTGACTTGATATACCTGTTATCCTGTGTGAGATCATCGGGTCACATCCTACTATCATGTAGCTCAGCATGAATAATACCAGCCGCCTTAATCTATCCCTTTAGATTTTTCATCCAGCCACATCACCTACTTAATTCCCCACACCTATACTCTGTCTAAGAGCTTCATGTATTTTTTGAGCGAAACATACAATCTCTACCGTTACACCTATTGAAACACTAGGCTTCCTCGTTTTTTGTTTTTCAGTTTATTGAGATATTTCAGTTATTACCACAATCTGAAAACACCTATCACCTGGCACTTTGGAAGTGAATTCATTTATCAAAACTCAGTAGGATCTGTGGTCAGAGTCCTTTAGGATACTTTATATTCTGCAAGAGGATCCACACTAATCTTTGCAAAATAATACCGTTTTCTAGAATAAACAGTGACTTACGTACGAACGAAATCGAGGTGGACCAAACATTCAAGATTGTGATATCAGTGGGGTATAAACTTCTGCTCACTGTCCTGCTTAAAACGAGTACTTGACACGAAACTTTTGATGTTATCGACTCAGTAAAACATAGGGAATCTATTATTAAGATCATCTTAAGGGTATCTTGAATACAGTTAAGGTACCATGCTTTTTTTGTGATATTGGGCCACGTTTTCCTTTTAAACTTTTGATCTCTCGTTTTTCATTAAAATCATCTTTCCGTCTGTATCACATCCTCTCTGAATTTTGTGTTAATTGTACTTATTGATGATTCTTTTGTGATTTATCGCACGACTAATAAGAATTCCAGGTGAGAATATTATTTATTGACGATGTTCGGGCAAGGTTAACCTGACCTTAGAAGCGTCTACGTGATAACTAGGAGCAAATGAGGGTTATAAAGCAGTGTGAAGAATTAGAATTATGATTTACAGTTAATGGTTAGTGTTAGGAATTAGATTTAGTATTTTCATCACGAACTGACATCAGTTGAAATGACAAAACGCTATGTAAACAAATGAATGAAAGACGTTTCGCGCCAAAATCCGAGGCCTGTTATCCTTTACCTGGTCGGTTCGTCCAGAAATTATGGGCTCGCCAGTATACCAATCCGACTACTTCTAATAACCACAAATTTCCTAAATGATAGCAAGGCTTTTAATTGTAAAGCTAATATTTTAGCTAGAAATAGACACAAATTTTTTCCTAGGATTAAGAGGAGTTTTCTGACGGCTGATTAATGAACGAGACACTGCAGAAACTCTATTCAGTACTCACTTGCTTAAAATTTTAGTACTTCCATACCGCTTTGCATGAACTTTTTAATTCAGCAAGAGTAAGTCAATCAGTTTTGAACTTCCTTTAGGTGACTGCACATATATTTGGGCATTCATAGAGCTAGTGTCATCGTATTCACAATAAGGGAGACCAAAAGAGTTGTGCTGGGCAACACCAGTTTTAGCAAGAATTACCATTTCATTGACTTCTGGTAATTCACTCTTCATCCAAGCAGCCTTGCCGGTATAAATGGACACATTTGGGTCCATCACACTTTGTAAAGGCTGCGAGTGTTAAATCAGTGCGAATTTCATGATACTATTCTATCATTCATCGCATTCCATCGGGTATTGACAGCCCAGAAGATGACAGTCACTTGTTTCACAATGTCCAGTAATCAGCTACAGAAAAGAAGAAATCACACTATAACGAAAGTTTAACAACTAAAACAGTTGAATAAAAAGAGAAATAGGTGAAACTAAAATTTATGGATGACCTTTGAGCAGCGATAGAATAACTTTGAAAGCGTCAACCTACGAACTAAAACTAAATGAGGGTCATAAACCAGTGTTAGGAATCGGAATTATGATTTACAGATGATGGTTAGGAACTAGATCTAGTGTTTTCATCACGAACTGACATCAGTGATAATGCCGAAATAGTAATTAGCCAAATGAGTGGATGAATTTTGCGCTAAAATCAAAAACCTGTTATCATAAATCTGATTGGTTCGTTCATAAATTATGGTCTCGCCTGATAATATACAAAACTAAGCTTCACCTGAAAATAATTCAATTCAAGTCGAGACAACAGTCTTGATTTGTTGTAGATGACCAAAATTATGACATTAACTCAACGAGGAAGGATTACTCAGCCTGTGGACTGAAATATTTCGAAGCGATTAGCTAAGCAACTTTAGGTTTGCGATATGATCGTTCCTATTTATTTTTTATATTTATTATCTCTGAACCCATAATGAGCTGAGGGCTGCAAAGATACAACAGTACTTTAGTCGGAAACTTCAAAATTATTCTTTAGAAGATGTCATCCAAACGATAGAAAATTCAGAAGTGCAGAATTGAAAAATCGCTAAAGGATCATTATATTTTCCTCAGGATTCGCAGCTGTTGGCATTGTATGTAAAAAATGTTATTCTTCTTTTAATTAGTGTTTACGTCTGTATGATATTTAAGCCCACATCACGAGTTATTCATTGTACCGTAGTGTTGGATTGAGAACATACGTATAGGCGGATAGACACACCAATGGACTCTACCGAATGTGTAACTAAGTGGATAGAGGTTCTGCACAACTTTATATTTTAAACCACACAAAAGTGTTCATTTCTATTCAACGTGCTAATAATTAAAACAAAAGCATCAACAGATTCAAATTTCACACTAGTTTATTTTCAGCAATCAAATGGAGTGTGTCACCTCTAACACAACATGAATAAATCATCCAAACATCAGATTTCCTCTCGAAAACTATCGATTAGATTAGACCAATACCGAAATTTTGTAGTCAATAACTACATCTCTAAATACACCAGTTTCTGGATGGCTTTTGCCGCACATTTACACTTCACTAACAACCGAATACTGACTACTTGAAAAGATCAACAATTTACTTGAGGTAGTAAATAATTGCTAGTTCACTTTCACCACATGCATGAAGTAAGTAAAAACTATAATTCAATCTTACTGCAAATGGCTTTAAATTTTCGGCTTTTTTAGAAATTTGTTGCTAGAACTTTTTTTCAATGTAGCATTACAGCTCTTCTGAACAAGTCTCGTATGTTTTGATTGAGAATTAGAATGAAAAGGCCAAACATATTATCCTTACGCACTCCTATCTAGGAGGGAACTACTGTCCATACCTGGGATGAGTTGTGTGAAAGTCATTTCTTGAATATTTTCTTATGCTTTACTAAGACATGCGAGCAAAGGAACTGTTGAGATAATATCTAACGCAAAGTAACACATGTCACCATGACATGTTTTCGTCACTTCTCCAATGCTCGTACTCATTAATTTTATGACACTTCATAAATCAAGTAATAAACACATTTCAATAGTCGCGCCGTGTTTTGAATCACGAACTTCTCTTGGTGAAACTTATTTTCTAGAAAACAACTAACCATATACAAGACTCTTAAAGGTTTCCGTCTGAAAAATGTATAAATCCAGGCCCCAACATTATTCGTTACAAAAGTAGACTACCTAGAAACAAGCAGATTGGAGATTCCATCCTTCATATTATCATTTGGCTTTTTGTCTAGCCAGTATGTCTTACCTTCTGACCTTATGTTCCAAGGACCTTGCGAGTCTTATTCGAACGTCAGTTTTATCAGACATAAGTTAGGAATCAGTAGAATTACGTTTGTCAAACAAGCTAAACGTTTGTCGCAATTCAACTACTATACGAGAGCTTATAGTACTATATAAAACACGACGTTGATTACTGATGTAAAGCCAGGGTGACGAAAGTAATCACCCGAACCAGCCAAAAATTGATTGATAAGATATGATAGTTACACCACACACAATGTTATTATCAGCAGTTACACAATATAACGAAACATGAATGATGAATAGCTATCACCGTTCTGTTCGTATTACTCAAATAGTCCTTCAGTACAGTATTGTTTGATCATGGAGAAATCATGAGCGTCAGACGGATTTCGATTCGATCAAAGGATTGTGAATTATATTTATATGGCAGCCCTTTTAACAACTTCACCAACTAGATATTTTAAGAGATGCACAATAACTTTTCACCTTAGGAAAATCTCCCCCACATTTCACATGAAAAATACACTTTGGGTACCTGTGTTCTCAAGACAACAATATCAACTAAACAACCCGATAATCATCATTTTGGTACCAGTAATTTAACGAGACCGAACATGAAGCCAAATATTTGACGATCAGAGGTTTTGTAGTGATACATCGCAACGAGATGGTAGGATTTTAAGTTATATAAGTTATATAAGACTGATCAAATAGTTTGCCTGAAGCTTCTGTAGGATTGTCAAACAATCATTATTACTTCACAGTCTATATATATATATATATATATATATATATATATATATATTTATAATTAAGTGAATGACTGTTGACTCTTTCGTTACAACCAACATTGAAGCAAATAGTTGGTAGTAATACTGCCTTTACGTTAGAATTCCAATTTTCACAGTACTGAAAAATAATCAAAATCACATATAGATAGGATGTTTTGATGAACCCTGTAGCGCCGTGTCGGATTACTACAGACATCTTGGATAAAACAAATATGTAGCATTTCTACATATTATTTACCAGGAAACCTCAGAAGAGTTTACATTTCACTATCATGATCTAAACCCATTCTCATCGTAAACCATATCTATCTGCTCTTCCATTAACATCATATTTCCTAAATACCTTGTCATTTTGGAGTGGACAATATCAGTGATCTGGATCTGCCTTGCCGATAGACTGAAACATCTTTACAAAAAATATTTAGAACCACTGCAACTGATAGAATCACAAGCCGCCGAGACCAGAAAAAGGATTGTGGAAGCTATTAATACATTTTGAACATCTAAGGTATATGTTGACGACATAATTTCTATTACTTTTTTAATCACCACAGTTGAAAGGTATAGTTATTTACTGAAAAACATTTTCCACAGTTGGTACAAACCGTTTAACAGAACAATCATTTTACAGAAGAAATGTATGAATACAACGAACATCGATATTCAAATCAAAACTTTAAGATGAACAGATGATAAGCAGTAGCCAAACACTATTAATACATATGTTGAAATCATTCTTACCAGTTTGAAGATAAAATTGAGTTCTACTCAAAAAGACAGATAGAGGAAACAGGGAATAGAAATGCGCCAAAATGGCTACCAAACATATTGGTCGGGTGTAAAATTAATATATCTATGATCATAATAGTAAGATTCAATAAATTCCATTTTATTATATGGTTCCGGAGTAAAAAATGCAATTTTATCCTTGTATGCTTGTTCCATAATAGCGCAAGAGACTTCTTTTGTAATTGTTGGCAATCTAGCAATTGATGGATACATACTACCTTGACGTATATCATCGTCTGTAACTAATTCAGATAGTTTCTGGAATAATAATCAAAAGCAGAAAATGATGAAAAATTAGAGTATGTGTCATATATCAGACGTTTACAATCACTGTAAAAATGGAACATGTAATTTATGAAATTTTTGCGCAGGCTAGGAAAATTTATACTAGTTAACCGCATGAGTGTTTGTACACAGGAACTAAATTCTTTGAAAGTAGTAGCGATCAAAAAAGCCATACATCATAAGTAATAATAGGCTTACAGTAGACTGCACTGGTTGAACTAAGAGCTCGTTATCACAAGAATATAAAATTGCGAAAAAGTAAGAAATCTAAAGAACTAGATAAAATTTATTTTCTAATGAGATAGACGACCAGTGGTCATATTCATTCAAAAGAACTGAATCCTGATTGTAATATCCAACGGTTTTTTCTTTAGAGAAATCGAACCGAGTAGACTGTATTAATAACCAAAAAAGAGTACTTCACACAAAATACCGATTTTCATGCAAAACGTGATCAATGATAAGATTCTCTTGCATTTATAGTTCGGAGGATAAAATAAACATTACGGTACAAAACTCATATGATTTTATGGCGGAAAAGTATAAAAACAACCATTGAGATCTATAATAAAAGGCAGTGTGCATGGCTCAGAGAAATGGTCTCTTTTAGGCAATCTCAATCCCGAAACTGTGTAATCCTCCTGTATTTGTGTTTTCTAGTTTCACTAACAACCATCTTCTCAACTGTTCCAGTGTGTTAGCCTTTTGCCATAAACAAATCATTTTTTACTCTATTTCCGATTCCATTTTATTTTTCGATTTATATTACCATACTTGGTAATTCACTTTCCATAATTATCAATATTTAACTGACTTTTCTAGTACGCTTGATTAAAAAATTAACTTAGTGCCCAAAATTCAAATGCCTTGACAACTAAGTCACCCTTCTATATACTTCGCTAGAATTCTATTTTTATTTGGTTAATAGAAATTACATGTGTTGTAGCCATATTGTAATTGTTCTTTTGTTACTAAGTCCGATAAATTATGCTCATTAAGAAATAAATTGTAGATTATTTCTTTAAAATAGCATGTTTTGTTACCATATAGCTTTGAGAATAAAATCGATGAAAAGAGATTTCTTCACCGAATCCCTGACTGACTCTTGAATGACTGGATAAATATAAAGCATAAGAATGTATTGTATAGTAAGGAATCTTAACGACAAAGAAATAACACTTGTTACAATATACAAAATTTATAAATGATTGAATATAGCTCAATTTTATAAATAGTACGGGATTACATACCAAAGAATGAAGTTGAATATGATATTACATTTAGAGCAAAGGTGTTCACACCACCCTAGACATACTTAATTCTAAGCTAATATGACTATTGAGAGCTCAGAAACATGTAAATAAAATCATGGATCTACAGGTTATCTTGCTGTTAAGGGCCATCGACGAGCACATTATGGGGATTAAGTACGGCCATTCATTTATTGATACAAAAATCCAGTGAATGGGTTTGAGTAAATCCACTAGTGAATGTGCCTCTGACCAAACTTATCCATCGAGCTCCAATTAACTACTGAGATATTGGGTACCGGTTCTGTCAAAGTTCACCTCATGTGCTACAAAAAAGACCGATTTTAGCGCCAACACTACCACGCGTCATTACGTTGGTGATGCAAAATAATTACTATCATTAGTTGTTATTGCCGTACGTGATTGGAGAAGTTTCCTAAAGGTGAAGCGATATAAAGGATGATTAAAATTATTTCCCTCTCACTCAGGCATACTACGGTAATGAATCTAGTCACCTTATATCCGATCCAGGATTCACGACCCAGAATAACACTAGATAATATTTTATTTCACACAAATACAAGCGGTCACACTCAGTGGTCGGGAGTAGAAATCAATGAGAGGGAAAGAAATCATATATTTAATAGTCAGTAGGTTGTGGCTGTTTGTCCACACTCAATGACCAATCATGTTTTACTCCCACTCTCACACATCGTAAAATTTTATTTTTGAAGATACCACAGGGCATCTTAGTTGTAATGCAAGAGTTGCGATATTAGCATTCATTTGGACATGCGTGGGTGGCATATCCGTGCTGTACATGGGACACTAATATGTAAAAATGAAGAGTTAAATTTCTCTGGAGTTTATAAATCATGGGTTGATAGCCTTCGTAAATGACTACTAAGATCCAGAAACCTCGGTGTCAGACGTGTTGTGCCGGAAAAACAAGAACGCTGATCACTTATACTCGGAACGAGGGACCTCGGCAATTCCCACGATGCGAAAGTAAGAACACAAGACTGGCATAAGTGAAGATTTATTAGCCCCAAACACTATGACAACGACGAATCAAAATAGTCTAAAATACACTCGTTTATATGTTGATTGTACTCCCATTTTGATTATTAATTAAGATTAAATTACATGCTTAGTTATAGCAAATCACTTACTGAGCATAGTTCATGTCAATTGAATACAAGAATATCGTATATTATACAGAAGAAAATATCATACTGGGAAAACAATCAAATACTACACTAAATGATCCTCACGTTGAATTAAAATGGATGTAATGTTGAATAAAACTGATAATGAGTAATTCAATTGAAAATTGACTTTTCTTTCCATCATATCACGTGGTAAGTGCGATGAGACAGCTTAGAAACATTTTAAATATAGCAGAGTATTATTAAGTTAATATCTTTTGGTCAAGATGCTTCTATAGATTTTGGACAACTAGGATTTTTAAAAGTACTGATCATTAAATTTTATTAGACATTTGTGAAAACGAACGCCTACATTAGGTTGAAATCATAATAAATTCAATATGCATAGTAATTTGTTACTTTTTTTTTTTACAAAAAAGACCAAGTTAGAAAGAAAAAACAACAGGTAATAATGTAGTTTACCTTTGCTGCAGTCAATAGCAATTTATAATTTAGCGGACGAATGACAGCCAATGATAATGCGTTAACCAAACTTGGAAAAACATAGCAGTTGTTTCCTTGACTCGGTTTTAATAAACGATCATCTGGTGTTCGAACAGGTTCTGAAGAAGAACCACTGACAAATATACATCTCCACTACACATATACAAGGGAAATAGATGAAAAGAAGTTGATAAAAGTCCCCAATGAATTTCGTATTATTTCGTGTACAAATTAGAATAAAACTATGAACAACAAAAAAGGATAACTAATATTAAGATAAAAGGGTGCATAAGTGTTTTAATGGTTAAGGTACTTCTATTTCGGACATTGAGTTGCAGGTTCGAACCCTGCTTCATATACTTCGGTTTGGGCAACAGGGTAGTGTCAACAGCTTTTACACTTGGTGTGTGTATCAAAGCCAAGTACACGAATCCCCACCCGGTAAACGAATCTAATCACCATATCATGGAGATAAACAGAAAAAAATTTAATACAATCCAAAAGTTTGATATAAATTTAGTAGGAGCAAACGTGTTGTTAGTTACCTCATCAAAAGGCTATGTAGAAATGTCAGAGGTAATGTTTGTTTGATCACAGTGTTAGGCAATACTAATTCTAATCTCAAAGAAACAGAATTTGCCCAAAAGACCCCAAATTCACCTTACGAAACAATCAAATAACAGTTGGCTATTATTAACATGGATAAATTGTCAGTTTATTTCGATTCAAAAATCTTCAGGACAATTTACTGCCACTTTGTACGTTTATGTAGTCGTTTCAGAAGGTGGTATTACAAAAAGATATACCAGATTATTCTCTGTCCCAGTAAGTTATTGATTAACATCTATCATAAACATTGTGTGAACAGCAGGATATAAAAAAACATCATTTACGAAATTAATCTTAGTAAAAAAAACATAACATACTTCTGTAGCCTTATAAGCCATCTGGGAAGTGCATTCGCCGAGATTTGACTGATTGCTTAGGACAAATATGATAGGAGTCTTATGGATTGTTGACAGTTCACGAAGAATATCACGCGTGAATGCTCCACTTTGTCCAGAAGCACCTGCAAAGAAATGAAGAAGGTTATCATGAGTTGAATAGAATTTGCTTTAAAATAATCGGAAAATAAGGATAAATATACATATGCGATCTCTTCTTCAAGTTAGAAACCATACGTTAAGTTCACTGGAATGACCCAAGGTTAGCTATAGCCAAAAGACTGTTTTGGCTTCTCAGAGATTTTGTACATGAAGATCAACAAATAACGGCTAGATTAAGGTAGGACTCAAATTTAGGGCGATAAATGTAACAAAGACAGTCAATTCTCAAAGCAGCCAAACACAAACATGATCCATTAAAAATGGCTGTCCGAACCAAGTATGCGATAACCAACAAAAGAATAAATTCTAACTACTCATAAGTAGTAGAGTTATAAAACACGAATATCATATTTTATTAACTACTGAGAAGCATATGATAAAAAAGGATAGCTGGAATAGTTTGTGTTCTATACAATATCCTTATAATACACACGAAAGAGACGTATACTCCCTAATGACACTAATTGAAGTAAGAGTCCTTGGTTCAATAATTTTATTTATGCACGGATAGTAGGGTGAGTGTGGGAACTAAAAAGAAGACTCGTATTGTAGAAGGATTCCAAATAATCAAATATACTGTCATCAGTTAAAACTTGCAACGAACTTGTTGGGGCATCGAAGCATGAACTTATGTGCAACTAATCACTCAAAAGAGGTTTGCTAAAGCATGACCGCTTAAATCTTAGTGATAATATGGGTTCAACTAATGTTTGAAATATTTTTCAAAAGTTTTAACTAAGCTGTATGATTAGGCAAAGCACTAGTCTAAAACGAAAAATAATAGATGGAAATCATTGGGTTTTAACAAGAAAAGGATTATAATAGTAATTTACCAGAAGCAACAGAAAAACGTGCAAGTGCTTTTATGATGAACTGAGATTAGTTGGAGAATCGTTTCAGACAAGGGATTTAAAAACAAAGATGAAAAATATACTTTAGATTAAAATAATAAAAAGGCACTTGGTTGAAAGGGAAAATAAACTTATGAATGTTGAGTTACTTACCAATTAAAACAGAAGGTCGAATTAATCGAATAGCTTCCAAAAGTGAATCTACTTTAGGATAATCAGAACGAGCGAATTCTGATTTTGCTGCACTAAGTTCATGACTCTGTAATGAAACGAAATAACCATGTTAGTCGGACAGAAAGTTGCCGTTTCAGCAGTAAGAAAAATTCATAATATATGCATTTTCAAGTTATAGTGTGGTGTGGTACATTAACTACTCTATAGGATGACATAGGAGAAAATTGACAAATTCAAAAACACAAGAGTGAGAATACTAATGTTGAGAGTATGAAATGAACGAATGAAATCGAGAAATAAAGACGATTAGAAAATACACAAACTTAAAGTTGAAAGAAAAGATAAAGAACAAATCCGTCTAGATGATTACAACTGATCTAAAAACACGCCACCCAGGTTCCCCAACGATTATTGCTTACAGTCTTCTCCCGTAGCGCAATCGTAAAGTCTGCACTTACAAATACAACAGTTAGTGTCTCCGGAGATTGGTGCTGTATTGATTTGTTACTACAGCTTTTCTCCAACTGACCCCTACGCGAGCTTCTGCTGCATGTCAAGGGATGTGGTAGCTAAGACATGTATTATACATTTCCATTCACCTAAAGCGATAAAAGTTCGTAGCCTTGTCATCCAGTTTAACGTTACTCCCTATTATCATAAGCTGAACCTCAGAAACATCGAATTAATAATTCCCCTATACATGAAACAATACTTCGAGAATATCTGTGATCGAATGTCAAGAACCAACTGTTTCTGTCTACATAGGCCAAATTTCACAACTATAAAGTAATGAACTGTTGAGAGTCTCTGTACAAAACAAAATCAACGAATATGAACAGTATAGATTTTTAATTACAAATATATGCGTGAACTGAGAGGAGTTGCGAAAATTTCAGGCATCATTATTTAATACATCGATAAAAATAAAACAATTTGATTAAACCGAAAACAAGAATAAACCATTTGTTGGCGACACTTTCAAAGTTTTTTCCTGATTATACTATTTCAAAAAATATTTTTGTAAAATAAAAAATTATTAGAAAAAACCATCTCTATGACGTTAAATGCTGACAATTATACTGCTGGTTAAGCCAACAGTCGAATATTTCACAAGCATAGTTTTATTTACAAACTTGAATACACTAAGAACAATGATTTGGACAGAATAAAATGAATTTGTCTTATATCATCAGGTTATTACTGCTGCTCTGATCAAATTGTTATTTTTGCACTTGTTTTAATTCAAATATTGAATGTTGCGTACATGTTTTTTGTATACGAAAAAAGCTTACATAGTAAGTACAGCTTTTAGAGAAACATTGAAGTCATTAATACTGTTATACAATATTGTATCTTAAAAAGAACAGGTTTCCGTATTATGACGGACTCCATGTGGTCAAGACGTTATTATAGAAGCAGAAATACTGTCTAGTCTGATTGTTTGTCAATTTGTTCTGAACTTATTGGACCAATGAACAATGACCGAAACTTTAGCACCTATTGGTCCTCAACCTTCGCTCAACCAAGTATTCAATCAAATGAAATTAGCAACCAGATAAGATTTCTATTGTGTGACTATTCCACCATCCCATACAATAAAATAATTTTCTGATCGCATACCAGTATGAATAACAAAGTACATAAGTGCACCATAAGTGGTACAGAAACTAAGTAATAGGTCCATAACTAACGAACGACAACTTGAGAAAGGTAAAACGTATAACAATAGTTTATGCGCCAAACGAATAATTACAATTAGGGGGGATGCGAGGATACAATAATTCAAATGTTTAATAATTATACAGTAAAAATATTAACAATAGTTCCCAATAAGATAGTTCCACGATCTACAGCTCTTTCTCGATATTCACTCCATTATGACATAATTAGATAAAACTGTCAATAATCTTATACATCAATAATATCATAAAGGTTTAGTTTTTATTTTAACATTCATTGAAATCATGACTTAGAAAAACCCTTTAAACATGTCCAAGTGTGAACCGATTTGTACGATTAGGTAAACATTGTAAACATACACTAAGTTTTCAGGTTATTGTAAACACAATATACTAGCTATGAAAAATTTTAAATGAATTGGAAAATACGATATTCAAGTGTATTTTTTGGCATTAGTTCATAGTAAGGCGTAAAACTTGACCTTGGACTAATTTATTAAAATTTTGAATATCTTACCAATATTTCGAACCATACACTCCTGCATTTTATAATAAAATATTTAAAATCAATAACATTAATCGTTGTGTGAAAAAAAACTTGGCCAATACATGGGCAATTGCTCCACAACATAGAAGTTTAGAGGCACAATTAATGGTACAACCAATCCCGATTGATAAACTTCTTTATATGGAGAACAAACAGTGTAGGATAAAGTGGATTTATTTCAATATTCCCATTCCATAAGCATCTTCCAACCTGAGTTATTTTTAAATTAACCACAGTAACAAATTCATTACTTAATTTACCTATATTTCCACGCCGATTTTACCGTTGTTATCCTTGACCTCACTGTTACACTAAAAATAGTTGCCTCTAACACCTAATCTATTCACAATCTGACCCTATTCTTCACGTCATATAATTATATACTTCCTAATTTTCACCACGAACTGGCCTAGATTAAACAACCACTGAAAACTAGACAGCACTGAACATCTGTGAACTATTTGTGACTGTTTGTAACATTGAATTTAATGATTTTATACCACACTTATTATTATTGGCTTTATTCAATATCATGTCTTTCGGTACAATATAGAATTCTCAGCACAAAGCATTCTAACAAGTTTCCTTATTTCTTGATCGATCCTTGCGATAAATATTGAATGGTCGCCAGTTAGATGTTAGCAGTTCAGGAATCGACATCTGATTAATGTATATTCTTTTCGATGCACATTGCCAGCGACCACGATGTCTCCGATTAGACTCTTTTGTAACTTGTACAGCGAAATGTCGTGAACTTTTCACAACCGCACCTGAATAGGTTATGCGATCAATTGGCATAATGATGTGTTAAGACGAACAAGAAAGCATATAGCTTGTTGAAATATCCGGATGGCAGGTACATGTAGCCCAGATATTCAAGCAAGCCGCCTTTACTTACCAGGATACTTACAGATCGTGTGTTCAAACATGTGTGAGGTCATCCTGTGTGCGTCTTAGAGTTTTCTACCTCCTACAAATCTTCCAAATTACGTCAGTTTGTAGTAAAAATTACTTTCGAATTATTATATGCAAACCATATTTGTGGTATCACATTTCATCGATAAAATTGGTGTCTATATAGATTTTGGGAAGATGAAATGAAGTGAATGTCATCCACCTGACAATGTTTGTTACATTTGCTTCACAAATATTAGTTACCAGAACAGAAATGTCTGGTTTCCCTTCTTTCGTTAGGATTTCCTATTTTATCAAGTGGTATTTAACTAAAAGAATGGAACTGGTTTACAATTCTACTTGGCATTACAATGAAATATCTATACGAATTAGAAACTAAGTTCTTTATTACTAACAAGTGGAGGACTAAAATCATAGAAGACTGAATAGCTACTTCATCTTAGTTTGGTACTCCTCATGAATATGCTTCTAGGAGCTTCAGGTTTTGTGACCTAAAAAACGCCTTCAAGAGACTGAATTAGAATCTAAAGGTCTACATTTTTAAATTTATTCTTTTAGCGATGCTGGTTGACGACATTGGAGTTAAACACCACCAATCACAGCTCATTAAAAACTCGGGGATGGAATCTTGAAGCTAGTGGTTATTAATAGGCGTACAATTATTAGTTTGAAGAACTGCAGTCGAACTTGATAAAAAAAATTTCACAAACTACCTATCCAAATACCTGTGCATACTGACTTATTTCTCTCTTTATCTAGACTTGATGATGTGTTCAGAAATGTTAGTGTAGATACAGATATGTAGGCGAAATCGATATAATTAGAGCGATAACGTGAAAGCAGACTATTATTTTTACTGCTCAAAAATAGCTAATACAAGATGGCGTATTAATTAATGATAAGTACAGTTAAATAAGTATTTACATACTGTGACAATTAAACCTTTAGAATCCATTATAAAAATACGTGATTTAGCTTCATCTTCAGAGAAACCTTCCTCCATAATTGCTTGTACTAACAAACGTGCTATACCGATAGAAGCCTAGATAAATAAACAAAAACAAATTATTTATTGACATTATTAATCTCAATTGAATAAAGTGAACGAAGCGTGTTATCCACAGTTAGTGACCACCTAACCAAGAACTTAGAAAAAAGCTACAGGTATCCAATTAGAGCATTGTATTAGTACATATAGGTCCGTGACTAGTGGGCTGAATCATGTAAGACTATGTTTTTTGTCGAGGTCTGTAAGATAACAGTTATGGTTGAAGGATTACAATTATGACTCAGTGTTGTACAGGCACGATGGGAACAAAACATAATATTGTTCTGTGCTCTTTATATTTCACATAACGAATACTAAAGAGACCGACACGTAATTCACGAAACGAAAAAGATTCGTTTCGCGAATTACTTAAGATTTTTGATGTTAGGAAATAATTATCGTGTACAAGAAGCTAGAATTCAAATATCATTGTTTAACACTTATTTAATAGAATTAAATCTTCATACCAATCCATACAAAACATAACTGAAGACTGCCAACTTTTAATCCAGTTAAACTTAGCCCTTAACAACTGAATGTTCTTACGTAGGGAAATCTATTAATCCTGTTGATTTTCAGTGTCATTAGAAGCTACATATTATACAGTGATTTCAACTGGCGTAATGAGAAAAGCTAACCAGAGTGCACGCTAAAAGCAATAATGGATATTATTTCACTATATTTACAAGATTTTGTTATGAACATGTAATTATTAGGTGGATTAAGATTAATTAATATATTGTTTTTACTACAAAACCATAAATTGAACATATTCAAATGAATGAAATAAAGGCATAACTTACTCCCCCACCACCATAAAAGAGATAACTGTTCTGAGATATTTTCTTTTGTGTCACTCTGGATGCAGTCATTAGACCTGATACAATAACCACAGCAGAACCTGATATGATGAATAGAAATAGAATGAATACGTTTAAAAATGCAATTTTTAAGTCCATTCCACACGTCAATATCTGTCAATTGAAAATGTTTACAATATAGTTCTAGTCAAATCATTAGATTTTTATCTTTAATAAAACAGTAGAAAACACCTGCTACTGTGAGTTCCTGACCAAGATATAAAGAGTAAAACGCTTTGGGTAAATAATATTTAGCTATTAGGTAAGTCAATTAAAGTTCAATTTTTAAACTGCTCAGTTATAGCTAAATCATTTATTGTACTAATAAACTTGAATTACAAAATCTTTATGACGAAAACTGAATAATGGGAATCAATTTGATAAAATTCACGAGGAAAAACTAATGTGTAAGAAATTACAATTTTAAGTATATTCTCACAAAAATTTTAATAGTACGCACAGCTACAAAAAGTCCATTTGATTTTATTTTTATCCAGTGGATAAATTATAAGTATAGAAGAGCGAATATATATCTCAGTCGGACACTGGGTGCTGAATATTGAAAACCAGTGTCAAATACTTGTTTATCTCTGTCACGGATTTATTAGTCTCGACTAATAAATAAACACGAAACCCAACCCAGTGCATTTGGGTCTTACAGTGAGTTAAGTAGAGGATCAGTAGATTATTTGTTGTTGGTAAGCTGTTCAAGTACTATCTAAGGCATGCAAGATGATAGTTCTTTTTTTATATACATGAAAGCATGTAAAAGCTGTTTTAAGCTTTTCTTTAATATATTTACTCTTTATACCAAATATCTGCATTGTTTTGTTAAGTAGTTTGTGATGTAAAATAACACACCATTATGTTGCGAATCGTTGATTTAAGTAACCAACTTTTAATTACCAAATCACGGTTTCTAAACCTGTCTCATCTACTAAGAATTAGGTATCATTAGTTGAGTCACTAGCCCTCAGAGAATGCTTGTGGCTTAAAGCCTGTTCGAAATTAGTGAGTTGAAGCAACAAGTTCTAGACTGATCCAGTGAATCACATAGTACATTAAGACTATGTTCGGGATGAGGAATCCCCAAATAAAACTTGGGCGAAAAATTAATGTCGAATTAAGATGAACACATGCTAAATTAATTTATTCAGTGTGAAGCTACTTCGTGGACCTTCAGTGAATTTTTCACTATATTTGTTCATTGATAGTTACTCAATTCGATAACTATAATCACTGTAATCGATATATAACTAATTATCTCAAATGTACATTGAATTCTACTGATTTTGGCTAACAAAGCTTTTATACGACTACTAGACTTCTTACTCTAGTTAGCATATATATCTGGTGCCCTCTTGTACTAATATTTGTGTTCAAATATATAATAGCGTGGTAAAGAAAAGGACAGCATCAGTATCGTTCACAGCATTGAGGTTAGAGTTGTGAAATACTGGCTTAGCGTACAAACATATCAGACAACGATCACAAAACTTAATTTCCAATACCTATCATGAACATTTCAGTTTTGTAAACCAATGAATACGTAATGGCATTCCAATAATGGATAAAAATAAAACGAGCACTTTATTAACCTTGTATGTCATCATTGAATGTTATGTAGTTCGAACGATATCTCTCTAAAAGTTGAAAAGCATTTGAATTCTTGAAGTCTGCAAAATGCAGACAAACATTTGGTCCATAACTAGATGTGATATGGTTGTTAATTGTAACAATATTACAACATACTGCGCAGACAATGACTCCACAACTTCATCCATGAAAGAAATATACTCTTCTCCGGTGGCCCGTTTCCGACGAAGACCAACATAAAACTCATCCTGACAAAAATGGAAACGTTAGTAATTAAGTGAACATCAAACATTTATATTCTTGGGAAATTTTTATGATAAATTGATATATATATATATATATATATATATATATATATATATCCTACAGGGTAGAAAGCTCACAATATAAATTAGGAAGTGTTAATGGAAAAGGTGTAGCATGAAGGTTAACTTTGTATATGATAGTTTTGCATCGATCATAATTTAGCTTGAGTATAAGGACCACTGAATAAAATGCATGGTGATGATGATAGTAGGAAAGCAAGTCACTAGACTACGGCTCACTTTCATTTTATGCGTGGATTTTATGCCTTAATGAATAGAGCGTAGTTCGAGTCGGTATTCTATTGGCTGAAAGTTAAATGTCCCAGTCACCGAGTAGTATTTGTCTCTGAGCAAGTTTGACTTAAATTGACTGTGCAAATCACGTTCTTGTAGACTACTTTCCCCACGATATCTACACCTGAAGCAACGAGAATTAATCTTCGCAGGAAATCAACTAATTTGAATAAAAATTAGTGAAATCTACGAGAAAAAGACAGAACTAGTAAATCTGAAGTGCAGCTGATTTCTTTTGGTGACAGATCAGATAATGATGACGGTTTCTCGCAGCTTTGTGTAGACAACAGCCCGTTTCTGGCTATCAATAACTATCGGTAGTCATCGCCGATGTGCTACCCGACTCCTCTCTACATTTAAAGCTTGAACTCAGATTGATCACATCGCGATCAGCTACCGCTGGGATTATTGTGCACAAAACTCCCGCCCCCTATGAAGTACTTGACTCGACTCTGATCATGCCCTCGTTTGAGCTAATTGAACCCTACGCTTCAACGTCCAACGAACTTCTCGTCTTAAACGGACTAATACAGCCAATTTGGTGACAGCTTCCGCTACAACCGAATATAAAACCGAGTTAGGTCTAAGGATAGCTTTAAACCCAACGAAAAGTACAGATGAGTACTCGTTCTAACTGCATGACGCTATGAAAATGGCTGACCGAGTCCCTAGTGGCTTCACAAAACATCTCGCATTGTTTTTACAAGTTTTTTCAAACCCCTTGAGACACGTCGGTCTACTTTGGTCAATCTTGAGTTTGACGATGAACGTAGGATTTTACGTGGAAAAACTGTGTAAAGTTTGAGTAAAGACCGAGAAGTTTTGCACCTAGAGCGTGCTAACGAGTTGGTGGCAGCAGTTGCATCTGACAACTGTCGGAAGCCCTTGCAACAAATCCGACCCACAGGCAACAAGGAGTCTGAAGCAATCTATGATGTCAATTAATAATATCCACCAACGTGTAGGAGGATTGAGAGTTCTTGAAAAAGGAATTTTACCGGTCTGCTGCCTCAGCTACATCGACCAAACTGTTCTTTCCTCCCCGGTCAGCATCGACCGATCCACTTAATAAGGCAGAACTCCGTAAGGAACTCCAACTGTAGAAGCGCCACAAATCACCAGGCCCAAACTAATTACCTCTAGCTCTTTTTAAGAATAGTGGCGACCTTCTGGTTATTAAACTAACTGGGCTATTTGCAAAAGCTTGGGAATTATAGTGTTTCAACATCCTGAAGTGAGTCGATAGTCACCCCTATATTAAAGAAAGGTTTAAGTTACTCATACAACTACTATCGAGGGATAGGTCTACTTCTGATTTCGTCCGAACTACTGGCCTTAATCATACTTCGCAGACTGTTCATAAGCTGAGAAAGACTAACTCACAAGGAGCAGGTTGGTTTTTATTGTTATCTAGGATGTATCAGTCACATCTTTACCCTAATACTTATTACAGGCCAACAAGCGTTATGTTTCTTGATATTAGGGCTTGCTTCAATTCGTTGGACAATGCTGTTCACTGGGATTACCTATTGAAGAAAGATATGTCTCAGAAGTTTTTTAACATCTTAAAAGCTATATACAAACATCTCAGGCAGAGTGAGGGCATACAGTCATCTCTTCGCGTTGTTCCGCATGAGCAATGGGGTTAGGCAGAGTTGTCCAATCTCACCATTCCTCCTCAACTTCCCCATCGATGACGTCCTGAAAACAACTCTGATGAAAGTAGATAAGTGATGTGGCTCTGTTACCTCGAAAAATACTTGTTGACCTGGAGTATGGGGATGATACTATTTTGTTGTGAAGTGGTATTCAAGCTCTGCGATCCGCACTTGACTAGTTGGCAATTCGTGTCCGCAGGTACGGCATGCATTTAAATCGTGTGAAGTACTTTTACAAGACCGGTAGGGACCTGTGTCTGCACTCACGCTTAGTAGTGGGAAGTTAAAAATAGTCGAAAAGCTCGTGTACCTGGGTAGCTGTATAAGTGCTGTTGGTGGCATTAGTGATGAAGTCAATCTATGTATATCAAAAACCAGAGCGGCCTATATCAAACTAGTTTATCTTTGGCGCCTTTTCCATGATATTCTGGCTGTAAAATGTCAGATTTACAACGCGTCGGCGACAGTAGTTTGGCTTTATACTTTTGAAATTTGGTCTTTACGAGTCGAGGATGTTAAGCGGCTATCGGTGTTTGTTTGTGATTGTCTGCGAAAGATTGCTGACATTTAGTGGAAAGACCATATTAGAAATGCGGAAGTTCAGCAATGTGCGTCCGGGTGCAGTGAAGATAATTTACTCGGTCATAACCTAAAAACACTGACTTCGGTGGCTTAGACATGGACTACGAATGTTGTCCCAGCGAATCCCACACCGTGGATTATGTGCCAACACAGAGACTGACGGGATAAGGCGATCAGTTTACGACACGGTAAGGGATATGCAGGCAGCTGTATAGGATTGGTGTCTGCCGGCACAGCAATGTTTGCTGGTTGAGGTTCGAGGGATAGTGAGACACAGTGACTCCAGAAATGATCAGAGATAGCTCAGAATAGAACCCAGTGGAGGTCCTGCTGTAAATTACTTGTAATTTTTTTCATATAAGTGAGAGCAACTTAACTGAAAGAATCCTGTCCGGTTGTGTCTTTCTAACTGAACTGCTTCTTCCACTACTTTTTACTTATACGCATATTTATTCATTTAGTTTGTTATACTATACTCACCTTCCTTTCTCCACTTCTTTACAACCTCGTTTCCTTATTGTGTGGCCCAAATATATTTTGGTGGCACTTTGTATCAGTATCAGTATATAATAAATATATTTTACTATGTATACTTTAATTTTGGATTTGCTAGCTGTAAAAATTAGACTTGGATAGTCCTTCGGGACAAAGTTCCGTAAAATATACTCTTTACGCCAACTGATGGGAGACAATTTATTCTGTTAGTGGTTTTAAAAAATCCAAGCATAATTCACTTACATGTATATAAATAAAAACGTTTTCTTGGATGACTTTGTAGTCTTTTAAATTGCAAAAATAGGCATGAGTTATTAAAATCAGCAGTAAGTAGATCAAACAAGAAAAATTAACAGACTATTAGAACAAATAGATCAACCTTTTTTTAGAAATAACAAGATTAATATATACCTCCAGAAGCTTTTCATTGTTCGTACCAACATCCAACATCACAGGTAGGCAATGATAAGGTTGTAAGCCTCCTAAGGCAGTGTACAGAACAGCCTTGCTTAGAGGAATAGCCATTCCATTAGCGCCCATATCTCCGAAACCCAATATACGTTCGCCATCAGTCATAACTACAGTCTTTAATTAACCTGTATTCAGAACAGATTTTGCATTTACCTTAATTGTATCAGCAGGCCAATTTTTTAGTAAAGTAAAAATATGCCCTCTATCTTGAATTGTAATATAAATACCTCTAGAAATATGGTAAATACAGCAACTTACCGAGGCCTTCGGAAAACAAAACCGAAATTCAAACATGCTAAGCCAACAGTAGGTGTGTAAATAAGTGGTAAGCAATACTCTAAATGTGTTCTGATAGTCTGCGAAATAATCTTATTAGATTATTATTACCCGATAAAAAAGCTTTTCGTTAAGATCTTGAAGGGACATTAGCATCATGTAACGGCTAAGATTATCATCCAGCTGATAAAGGTTTGAGATAACTCGCTGTTCCTCAACATCTTGATTTTGAGGATTCGGTGGCAACAGTCCATGAATCCCCAGAAGTTGGCGTTCATGGAGAGTATACGAGGAACCCTGAGGGAAAACTCAATATGGTGAAGTCTAACCTTATTTGTCCGTGGGTCACGCAAAATTTCGATCCCTCGGGTCTTTAAGCGAGGCGCATTCCGAATTAATGAAGGGATATAGCGGCAACTCATATCCAGAAGATTTCCTGAAAATGGTAAAGATAACTTCAGATTCCTTAGAAAACGTAATAACTCAGAATTTGGAAATAAGACAACAGCAAAGAAATGATCCATATTTTTAATAAGTCGTTATCACGAACTTATAGTTATCTAGTAAAGTGTACTTCAACGGAGTACAATTGTTCTCAGTCATTATTAGTAACCCAAGCAAACATTAGGAAAATACAGAGGCAATTCCTTGAAGAAATTTCATACACATAGTTCCCTTCATTATCTTAAAGAGAGTAAGAACAAAGATTGGTGCACCAATCTATGTTCCTGCTCTCCTTACGGAAAATCGGTGTGAACATGGGTGACAATGAGTGAAATTATCACCTTAATGGCCCGGAATGAATGTTATGACTTTTCAAGATTTCCCATGTAATGGGAAATGCTCCCAAATGAACACCTTTATCTTCCTCAAATTGTCAAACTTTCCCTAAAATTAACACTATGCTCCCCTTTATTTCGCCTACTATAGTTGCTTGAGGAGGCAAATTTGCTTTGAGAAGTTCACAAAGTGTGAAGTCGCCGCGTAAAGTGCAAAATAACTTTGACAAAATAATAATTTCCCTAAACATTGAAGTCATCGAAAAAAAAAAGCCGTCAAAGCGGACACGCAATTTTTATGATCACCTCAATGACTGCGGCAACGACCCAGTGGCATTATCCACTGACGGAGGTTAGTGAGCACTTGAAGGTCAAGGTTTCGTAAAACGATTGGTGCGTCACCTCGACAATTTGTAAGGTTATGCATGAGTGGTCAAATCAAGACGATTACAAATGTTGAGTTCAGCCATACTATTTCTGATAGCCTCCATCTTTCAAGTAGCCAAAGTGATGCCATCGTTATGATGGATGATATCGAAAGAATCTCCAGCGATATTATGATGTCGCGACGGATAAAACTTTCCCCAAAATAGGGAGATTGGGTCAGTACTCGGTGCGAGAAACGAAACTCCAGACGTAGACTATTTGACCCCGGTTTTTATACTTCATACCAAATGAATTTATCCTTTAGGCCTAAATATTACCACTGTCAATCTGGATTTTGGGTTCGTGCGGCATTTGTACAGACTAGTGATTCCTTTGCACTTGACTACTCGCTTATCACAAATTCCAAGTGGAATACGTTTGTTTGTGCTTATCTAGTTCTGTCTGGCTTAAGTCAAATTCAGATTCAGATTTGTGCAGTAAGGACAGAAGGCCTATGGACTACGTTATTCCTTCTAGTATTCTTCTGTGAGTGTCTTGTCTTCCCTTGAATGAGTCGTTTAAAGGTGAGGGCACCACTGATCCGGGTAAGAGGTCCCAAGAATCGATGACTCGGCGTGGAAACCTGTATGCCACAGGTATTTTATTCGTTCTTGGCTTTTCTACTCTCCTGATAAATCCTCTGAGATGTCCGGATCAGAATAAACAAATTAAATCACGTTTCCGGGAATTCCTAGTAGGTACAATAATTTTAATATTTCTAGTCTTCATAGTAGTGAGATAAATGTCACTTCCATCAAAATTGTGTACAACCATCCTTGCATAACAAGATATATTTTTGTAGATCCTTCGAGACGACAGTTATTATAGAGTAAATGATTATATTTAAGACCGTTTTTTGTGTAATACGCCAGCGCGCAGCATTGGGCATCTGGTTACTCGGAGGTCCCACAAGTAGCTTACCGAGGAAGATATTGCCAAAATATGGTCACAGTTGTATCCAGGTTGTTAAACTCACATTCTAATTACGTGGATTCGGACATTAAACATATCAACGGGAATTTACAGCGCGTCCAGCCAAACGCTGAAGCAAGGTTATTCGAATAAAATCGGAACATATCTCATATTTGTTTCAGTCGCAGGTGAAAAATGGTTATCTACCTAGAGGTGTTATGTATTGATTCGACCTATCAAACCAACAAAGTTGGCTAAGTAACGAATAATAACAACTTTATCTTGAAGTCTTCCACAGTTATAGCTAGTCGTTGCTGATAGTATTTAGCAAGGGCACACTTTTATGCATGTCCTTTGCAGGCAAGAACGACGCAAAGACTTCTTAAGCCTACCAAGATACTTCAAAGACATAATGAATGGTACTTATGGTACATGCACTTTTATTGTGGATTCGGCAGCGACTGAAATTTCCTAAGTGCAGTCTTTGCACAGTCATGCCAACATAATACTGTGTCCGTTCCATGTTCTAATAGTATTTTTCAGGAAGGTGAGAGTTAACTTTATAGATTATTTTCTGTAGTCGCGAAATGCCGATGTTCGCAAATGCTTGGAACATCTTGCATAAACCAGGCTATCGGACATGCAAGCTCCACTTTACATAATGCATTATATTCAGATTTGCTCAAACGTACGGGTGCTTGAGAATCCACATTACACGAGCCTATGATTACATAGGAGACCAATGGATTGACCGGAAGTCATTATGAGCTAGCTGTTGTCAACGGCATGTACCAAGCCTGAACAACCAAGTAAACGATCGTGTGGAAAGTGCTCATAAACACATAACGAATGTCTCAGAAGAGATGATTCTCTTCTCTATAGCTTTTGTGGCTAAAATTGCAGCTAGAAATTACAAACAAGTTAGGAGAATGAGACACAAAGCGATGGCAGGAGAGTACATCCACTGCTACGACAAGGGTAAAGTGTATGTTGTTAATGCTTGATATTCGCGATGTGCTTGTGAGCATTTCAATGTCCTCACTTGCGGTGTAGTCAGATTTCGCGCACACATGTCAAAGATCTATTTCTTTGTCTCTATAAACATCAGAGATTTATTTCGATATAGAAATTGGTGGACAAGGAACTACATAATCGACTTGGTTATCCGTACATTGGATAACATGTTAGACTTTACAGATCTGCATCCTTTAAATGGACCTCAGGATGGTAAATTTATCCGTTCATGCTTTGGAACATCGGGAAACATAAGTACACAGGTGGTCAGTTAAATTCATGACAACGAAGAAGCCACATCGTCAGAATGCGTTGTTCTTACTCACCATGACCGTGCTTCTTTATAACAAGACATTGGAATTGTCATTTTTTCGGTTTTACATAAATTAATTTATATAGCTATCAACTTGTTTACACGTCATTACGGCAGGGAGAGTGTACAGTGCAGTCTTGTGTTGCTGTGTGGCTGAGAAACATAAGTGTTGGTTAGTATTAATGTGTAACGATTACGCAATGTCGTTCAGACCGGTTACTAAATACTTCAACACTGAACTTGGTGTATCAACTACTTGGTGAAATTCGGCACTACTAAACTACTTGCAAATCACACAGCAGTTACTTTTCACTATCATTGAGCTGATTTTGCTGTGCTTCATTTCAGTATATGTGGGTAAGAATGAATGATTGATGCCATTCGGTTTAATTATTGGGAACAGCGTTGACTCTGGATTTTTATCTATGATCTTTCGTCAAGGATCAGAGTCTTTATCTATTTATCGCTCTTAGAGGTTTGCTACTTTAAATAACACTCCTTTCTTCATCTTCATTTCTGAATATGTGTTCATGTAATGAGTCTGGAATAGCCTTTATTCACCTAAAAAGTTAGTAGCACTCAGAAGTTTATTACCTATATCAATGATGATTAACGTAGATAAAGCATATATAGTAGCTGCTTGTTTCTGATACGTTTGTGCATCGAACGATAGATAGGAGTAAGCGATCGAAAGCTGTTCACGAGACACTCATGTTACATGTATGTAGTGCGTGTATGTGCATTTTCCGACGTAGTTTCACCGCTATTCGTTCCATCCCCTTGTTACGCAAAAAAGAACAGGAATACATGTTAAACATATTACATTCTACTGTAAATCATTTACAGCAATATGAATATAAACTTTCGATGGAGTATGCAGACATTGGATACCTAATCACCTTTTGTCCAAACACTACACTCGTTTTCGCCTAATTAGTAAAGAAAACCAACTCCACGAAATCGCCAAAAGTTTGCTAGCCGGGTAAACAAATAGTTAGTCAAGCAATGCAATGAATATATATATATGAAAGTGGACAAATGTATGTTTATGCACACAACTCTTGTTTCCTTGACTGATCTTCACTTTTTGACTCCTCGTATTATAAAGGAGCCGTTGTACATAAGTTGTCTTAATCGGCATACAGCAGTACTTAGTTCTGCTACTGGCTATCTTTGTAAGAATATCGGCAACCTAAATCCTGAAACTTCACCGAAGTAGGAACTCTTGGAAATTTGCTTAGTCCCCGGTGAAGGCTACTCATGAGCGTACCTTTCGGACATGAGTCTGATTTGTTTCCCGGAATATAATGATTTGTTGGCTTATATATCTAACAAGATAGGATTATATTTACAGCTTAGTAGGAGTTATTATATATATGTATATATACAACCCATGGGAGAGCCAGTACCTTCACTATTAGTCCATTTCTAGCACAAAAGTGGAAAAAATGGTGAAAAGCAGCCGATAGCGTAAAAACGAAAATAAAAACATAGAGCCTTATAGGGGATTCGTTAGTTGATAAACAGTTCGGCAACTTTATGACGTCATATGACTTATTCATGTTCTTTCATATAAAACTAAATTATTACCCTACTGCTACCGTATGGCTCGATGGGAATCAATGCTTGTCTGTGACGCAACTATGGAAAAACTGTTCTGGCAGCACCTGGTCAATGAAATTTCAAAGGAATTTGAAATGCCATGTACCGAAAGATGAAAAATATTTCACTAAGTTTTGAGATAAAAAATAGCTTTTCATACGTATTTGGGGTTAGTTTAAAAAACTAGAGCCCTGTTACGTTTTGGAAAAGTATAGTAGTAAACGAAATAACATCTGACATCGGATCTCCGACAATGTTCTATGCGTTCGTCGAGATCAGCCATGTTCTTTCTAATCTGAGAACTAGGGATAGTATGCCTGTAAGGCCGATAAAATATCACTGGGCTCAAGCCAAATCATTCCGGGTCATTGAATATAGAGCAGTTCACCTATACTCGTCAAGGCCAATGACAACCAACGCGTATCTTTTAACTGCACGCAATGGGCTCGTCCGTGAGGTAACAGCCACACTGTTTCTTGTATCCACTCTTGCTAACATATGTTTATAGTGACGTCATTTGTGTTGTAATGTCATTGAAGCACCAATAGTATCTGAATACATCAAAAGGGTAATTCACGTCAGGTACTAACCATGAGGTGGGACTTCGACGGTAGCTGGTTGGTTAAACTCGAGTAGGTCCCCACTCATTCAATACAGATCACCTACTTTGGTAATCTACACGCTCTAAGTAACTAAACAACGTTACAACTTTTGTTAGTTTACCTGAGTATTTGAGACTCTTCATCGATTAAAGTGAAGTTCTGGGTTTTATGTCTAGGAACTCGAGTTTACTAAAACACATTTATTCATCCCAGTGGTTCAAATTATAAGTTGCGGATTTGCATCATATAGGCTTAACAGTTAATCCTTTTCGTTACTCATACGAAAAATCACTTATCTGTCATCGTACTACCAATATCGTTAGTTTGCCAAGGTTAATTGGTTTTTTCAGACATATGCTTGAAAAAGTATAGAAATTTTATCTTTCTGTAACAAGGACTTTTACTTGAAACTTCAGGCTTACAGTATAATGAAGTCACTTCAGGTCGTCACCTTGATTGGTGCGGTGCAATAAGGTTCCAGTACGTGACCTGCTTATGTGCTTTCGGGTTGTTCCGTCCCGCTCGGGGTGTGTGACT